TTCTTCCTCTATATAACTCTCCATGGGCACAATCTTAAAGGGTTATTGTTTGGCAAATGTTCAGGGAAACACATTAGAAATGGCACCAATATCCAGATTTTCCTTTCCTCCTATCTACACTAGTTTATTATCTAAACTAATGCATAATCCACAGGGCTTTGGGAACTTTGTGTAAATACTTTCATGTACAATTCTCTTTCTGGCTAGCCTGAGATTAAGACCACAATTATCCTGGCTTAAACCTAAAATAAAGGAACCTTTGCAAATGTATTATCTGGACTTACATGTTTAATCACACAATATTTTGTGTGCTTTTTAATACCTAAAGAGAAGAACAAAGGTTGTACCCTCTGATGTTTCCCACATGAAAGGCCCTTCTAAGACATTTGAGACAACTGGGAAGCTAGAAAATAACTTCTAATGACAATAAGCATGTTTTTTCTCCAAACTTAACTAGATTCTGTGTGGAAAATGTCACACTGTAAAGAACTTAACATTTCATAATAATTATGGTTACCATTTCCAAAGATCTGTATTAACTAATAAATTCTAACAGGTACGTCACATATCAAATGTAATCTTCATAAAAATTCCTTTTTCTCACCTCTTCTAATCCTTCCTTATCCCAAATGTAATGTTTTTGTTTTTCAGTATATTACAAGAGAACTAAAATGAATATGAGTCTGCAATGGAAGTTAGAGGAAGAATGTGTTTGGGGGAGGTGTCCAATGGGGAGGGGAGCAGCAGATGGATTGAAGGAAGGGATTTGAAGTGTGCAGACTATGGCATGCAGTGATGGAGCAGATGGAATGCATCACCGTCAGCTATGACAGAAATGATTTATGGAATGACCTGGTTGCTCCTGCCTAGTAACAACATAGGATGACAGAGCTGAGTTCCTATGACAACCAAAGCCCACCCACTAACTAGATTAAACATTCTTTCGTGGTTTCCATTCACAGTGAATTTGGACTTTCTTTCCCAAATGCCAACTGATTTGGCTATTATGATGCTCATGATATGTGAAAATATTCAAGTACTTGAAGGGTAATTGAAAATGAGTCTGAAGAACCACTATGATTATCACAAATTCTGGGTTGCCCATATGCCAAGTTTTCTTTAACAGAAGTTTTTCTGGAATAAAATAAACACAAAAACCTTTGAGAAAAAGCCCTTGAAATACGTACATAATATTTAAAAAACCTGCCTAATACCGAAAGTTCAATATTATTATTTGTCTTTCTACTTGTTAAATATCTACTACTGGGTTCTTATAGCAGCAGCAGAAAGAATAAGGCTAATCAATCAATACTTGGGAGGTAACCAGATTTAATATTATTGAATAGTTTTCTTCTTAAATAGGTAATTTTCATCAGACAGGAATGTTAAATACAGAAAAAGTGGAACAATTCCCTATACTCCACACTGTAAGACATAGTCACTGCAGCACTGCTTTTCTGGAAGCACAGAGAAGTGAACTGGTCAGATCAGGGCTCTAATATAAATGGGCTTTACCCTTCCTAACTTGGTGATTCCCTAGGGCAAACTACTTAATCTCTCTGAGCTGAAGTTACTTAACCTTTTAAACTTTAGTTCCTCATCTGTAATGTGGGGCTAATAATGCCAGAGTTTTCTTGAGGATTAAATTAAAGCATGTAAATGCTTACCATGGTGACTAGCACCTAGTAAGCATTTAAATCACAGCCAATATATTTATGGGTTTTGTGTTATCATCACTATTTTTATCATATGATATAAAAGATATCATATTGAATCCAACAAACATTTATTGAGCTTTTTTTTGTATTATATTATATGGTAGATAAATTTGACTTGTACTTGGCTGTAGAAAAAGATTAATTCACAGAAATGATGTACAAACAGGCTCATTCCCTTAAATGTGGTAAGTGCTTCCTACCATTCACACATTAAGTGGTCTACCTTCCCCATGAACAGCACCAGAGTTAACTGCATGCACTTCACAGAAAATGTATGACAACTTTGTGGGAATTCTAAGGTCTATCTCAGGAGGAAAGAAGAGGCCGAAGGAGAAATTTAAAAATACAAAGCAGCAGTGCCTCTTAAACAATTAGATTTGGAACTTTTCTGGATTACTGGTAAATGCTCTCTCAAAAGAACTCCAAAAGAAGTGATTTCAGCCTTAATGTTTTAAGAATCAGCCAGTAAAGTACAATCATTGGCTTTCTCTTTCTGACATTTCAATTTGCATGATCCATGTTGTCCCAAATGGCAATATGTCATATTACTTTATGGCTGAGTAGTATTCACTGTGTATAAATACCACATGTGATTTTACCCATTTAAAGAATACAAAGAAAGTAAATTAACAAACAAAACATAAGCAAAAACAAACCAGAGAATGGTAGTTGCTACAAGGCAAGGATAGAACAGGTAGAGGAGACCGAATGGTTCGCCATCAATAATGACAAGACATTTGGTGGTGGGCAAGGTATGATATACAGTTGCAGAGGCAAGACACTTTTCACCTCAAACCTAAACAGTGCTGTAAACCAATATTACTACAACTGAAAACATTCATTATTTTGTCATGAATGTTCTGCTGCATTGTAAAAGTAGTTGCTTAAGGAAACACTATGTGGGGGGTCACCTTCGTGGCCTAGAGGTTATGCCTCACAGCTAATACAGCCTGAGTTCAATCCCCAGCCAGGGAGCTGACCCACATATGGCACAGCAGACCTGTCCTGTCTCGTCGCTGTCCCCTTAGTATTTCAGTGGATCAGCCTGTTCTGCTCACGACTCTGTCTTTAGTGTCTCTTATCCTCTCTACCTTTGGCTTACATTCCAATTATTCTATGCAAAACATAAATTAAAAAAACAAAAAACAAAAACACTATGTAATTCCTTCAAGTTAGTTTTACTCATTTTAGCATGAGTTCTTTGGTGAATTTGCTTTCTTGGGAATAAAGTTCTCATTTCCTAGTTCTTGAAGGAACCTGCTGGAATAAAAAAAAGCAAACTATTTTTTGTCTTGGAAAGTTTCCTTATAGAGATACTTCTTTCTCTGTATCAGTAGAAGGTATTTATTTCTTGGTTCTACTTGGCTTATTTTATGGGCAACTTAAGTATACATACATACAAATTTATTTAAAATAGTTTTAACTAGTAATCCATTAGTTTATGTTTCTGATTTAATAATGCCCCAATTTTTCTTCCTTCTCTCTGCATCTGTTTCATTAAGACAAAAACAGAAGTTAGAAGTATAGTTCTGTAGGAATTGGGAACAGAAGATATAGTCTCATGAGCTATTAAGCACAAGTCAATATAAATGGATAATGGCTTTAAATAAGTAAGGAATTTATAGCTGTGTAACGATATTTTAAAAAGATTTCTAAAAGATACTTTTAAAATATCTTGATATTTTAAAAAACTTTATTTATTTATTTATACATACAGACCTGTGGTATAGGTCAGAGGTATGGGGGATGAGAGGATTCATTGGAGAATGAGGGGCAGAACAGGCAGATGACTGAAATACGCTGCTGACGATGGCCAATAAGCGTATGAAAAAATGTTCAACATCGCTTGTAATAAGGGAGACATAAATTAAAACCACAATGAGATACCACCTCACCCAGTGAGAATGGCACATCTTCAAACAACTAGCAACAACAAATGTTGGCGAGGATGTGGAGAAAAAGGAACTCTCCTACACTGCTGGTGGGAATGCAAACTAGTACAGCCACTATGGAAAACCCCCCCTCCCAAAAAAAGAAAAAAAAAAAAGAAACATATATCTTTTGCAGCAACATGGATGGAGCTGGAAAAGATCATGCTTAGTGAAATAAGCCAGAAAGAAAAGGAAAAATACCGGATGGTTTCTCTCATAGCAGGAATATAATGGAACAGGCAAGAAAATAATGATAATGATGAACAGCTATATACCAGAGACATTTTGTGGGGGTAGAGTGGGGAATAGGATCAAAACAGTGGGGGGAGGGAAATGCATTAAACTCTGGGGATGGCACATGGGTGACTTGGTGATGGGAAACCCAAGGGGATTGCAACTGAGATGGGAAAATGCACAACAATATGTAAAAATAAAATAATATAACAATAACAACAACAACAACAATAATAAAAGATCTTCAATAAAGTATAATGCTGATTAAAAAAAAAAAGATACTTGTACCCCCATGTTTAGTGCTGCATGATTTACAATTGGAAAGATATGGAAACAGCCCAAATGCCCCAAAGTGGATGACTAGATCAAAAAGATGTGGTACAGATACACAATGGAATATTACTCAGCAATCAAAAAGGGTAAACACATGTCCTTTGCAGCAACATGGACGGAGCTGGAAGGGATCATCCTTAGTGAAACAAGTAGGAAAGAAAAGGAAAAATATGAATGTTTTCATTCATAGCAGGAGTGTAACAGAAAAGGCGAGACAATAATAAAAGTAATAATAATAAACAGTTATATACCAGAGACATTTTAGGGGGAGTGAGTGGGGAATGGGATCAAAAACCGTGGGGGGAGGGAAATGCACTGGACTTTGGTGATGGCTCCTGGGTGATTTGGTGATGGGAAGCCCAAGGGGATTACAACTGAGATTTAAAAATGCATACAATGATGTAAAAATAAACTATTACGTTATTAAAAAAAAAAGAAAGAAAGAAATACACTGCTGAGGCGAACGTCAGGTGGGCCAGGAGAGGTCTGCCATGCCATATGGGTCACCCCACTGGTTTGGGATTGAACTTGTACTGTAGTGGCTGCTGTAGCTTCATAGTGCTGTGTTTTAAACTGCTGTGCCACCATAGAGGTCCTGTAGTGCCACAAGGGAGGTCCCATAGTGCTACCATAGAGGGCCTCTAGTGCCACCAGAGAGGGCCCATAGCTATATTCTTCAGATTATGACTATATTCTTAATTATGACACATACTACCCACAAATCTAATCACTGTACTTAGTAGGATAAAATTTATTCAGCAGAAATTGTAAAAGCAATACTCACAGATGCTAAAGCCTTTCCAAGTGCATCACCGGTCTGGGAGCTCCCAGCACCATTTCCCCTGGTTCCTGGATATTTCAAGCAAGGAAACACAAAGGATTTTAGCAAGTAGGCATGCTTTTGAAGCACTATGCCATTATTTCAAAGATATCCTTTACTGTTTTCTTACAGCTGTCACAATAAACCAGCAAGTATTCGCATGAGTAGTACTTAGCAGAAGTAAAGTCGATTCCTTACCAATTTCTACATTAACAAAGGTCAAATGTTTTTTTTTTTTCCTCCTTCCTTTCACTTTTCAAAGTCAGTATTAAAAAGTATATTGAAAGCTATGGGGTTTACAGAAAATTTCTAAATTAAGTTTCATGGACTGTTTTGAACCTAAAAGAGCTCACCTAGAATGCTATCTGATCCATTGATTGGAGGAGTGTGTGAGGCAGCGACGTAAGGTGAACTGCTTGTACTGCCACGATGGAAGCTGGACATTGGTGGAAGACTTGTGTTTATGTCTGTTGGTGAAACTGAGTGTGGGGGATAACTCTAGAGAAAGGGGGAAAGAGACATGATCTATTAAATACATTTTCTGAATAATATAACATATAATTGGACAACTACTATAACAAGTCAAAAAGAGTATCACATTAGCAGCTAAAGAATGTACTACTGTCATTTAATTTTTAAAAAGACATGTTAATGCAGTAAACTTAAGACAGTTCAAACTTCAGAACTTATGGTAGAATCAAATCTCGTAATCAAAAATAAACAAAGTGAGGACAAACTGTTGATGCACACTAGTAACGTGTGCTAACAGCCTACCAAGCGGTCATGTGAGTGAAGGCTGCCATAACTACTGGATTGAGACATGTGGGAAGTGGAGGTCCCCAGAATTCCACCAAAACCAGGCTGGCTCATCCCATTTGATGAACTCCAAAGGTCAGAAGAATTGTGGGTCCCATCTATGACAAAAACAGAAATATAAAATTTTCCTTAAATCTAATCTTTTATCTTGATGACACTATAAAAATTCAAAGGGCACCCTCATATATTTTTCCACTCATTTTTAACCTGGTCTTCCAGCTAGTTTTTTACATAACTGCTATTTTAAAAGAAGCAAGAAAACTTTATTAAAGGGGGGGGGAGAAGGAGTCCGAATCCTATTTATAGTGGTTAGGCTATTATAGAAATCATTAGACAATCTAAATCAAGTAAGTTAAAAGAGCACCAAATATTGGGCCTGGTGGGATTTAGTTTTTAGTTAAATGGATTACCCAGAAAAACACTTAAGTTGTTAACTTATAAAAAGTAATGTACATTATATTAAACATTCTGAAAAAACAATAAGTTTCTCTAATAATAAACTGATGTAACTGAAAATGACTATTATAGTCAGTCTTTAAATGAAATGTGTTGGCAGTGATTTCACTCAGCAACATAAAATCAAGGAACCATTACCATTTATGTAGTAATTTATTGCTCCTATAGTATATACTTCCTTCCCATAGTTCAAAACCACAGGAAAACAAATAACTATGATTTCCTAGATATGAAAGGAAATTTAACACTTTTTCTTTCTTAATAGAGCTTACTCTATGCTATGCTATTTACTATTTACATTGGAATTCTAAGGATGATAAAGGATGGCATGATTCTGCAATTTAAACAAGAAATTAGAGTTAATAGTTTTCATATATTTGAATTGTAAAATGAGAAAGATGAGCTCTATTCATTTTTCAATTGAAGTACTTTATAAGTTTCAATCAGTTATGGATTAGCATTTCAATTCAATTACATTATAGTCAGCATTAAATAGTATTAGAAAACTTTATAACTAAATTTTAATTTATTTCACTTGAAATACTTAGAAAATGTCTAAATTCCTATACAGATATTTTCTTTCCTCACACCTCTACATTCGCTAATATAAATTAGGCACATACTTGACAAGTAATTGGTAGTACTTACCTTGCATAAAGAAAGTGCTAGCAAACATACTGGTTGGTGGCTTGGGAGATGGATAACTAGGAGATTCACGGTTGAAATCATCTGAATTTGGGGATGGAGCGTATACCTTAAAATTAAATGGGAAATTAAGATTTAAATGATATCATATTGTGTAAAATGAGTAATATACTTCATAAATGTCCTAAATAGACACTTATATCTAATAGACACTTATCTAATATTTATAAAGGCCTACCAGAGATCCAAAAGAAACTGCCTAACTCCATGTAAATAATGTTTAACTTGGTTATTATCTATTAGGTTCATTTAGGTTATCAGAGGAAAAATACAACTCCATAAATCCCTAAAATGCATCTTTGTAATTACCCCAAGTAATTCAATAAAATGATAGCTGTGAATAACTTTGCTTACAAAACATAAATATCATATAGGCTCATGACTCAAAACGAGATGGCAGAAGTCAATGAATGTCTTTTGGCTAGCTCATGAAATAAGATTTTGGTTCACAAAATTCATTCTTTTCACTGTTAGAAGACTTATCTGATCAAAATGAGTTTGATTAAATATTACTGTCCTTTGTTACTATTAAAAAAACAACCATGAAATTGTTCAGAACAAATTCACACAACAAAATTGTTCAGAAACTAACTTAACTTTGTAAATTTAGTAAAATAAAAACCAAATTCTGCTGAGAGATTTTAATTCATTCATTTCAAGTAAACTTTCAAGTCGGGCACAGCTTTTAGAAAAATCTTATTTGTCAGAGCAGTGTTAATTTCCTTTGGTAAACCTTTGCTTCAGATAAGCAAAGTATGAACATTATGAATTGGTAAATGGCCAACATTTTCATTCCTCTGGAAAACTAAATGGGCTGCCAAATAAAACTTAGTAATCAAAATGGGATCAAACTATTCTCATGATGACTACTGAAATCAAGAAGAAAAAAGAGTTTTTAGGTGAAACATGGTCTATTAAAGTAAAAGCAAACCATGGGTCAAGAAGAATGAAAAGGTATTATTCTACTGTAAGCAATAGGTAAAACCTATTTATTTTGCTTATTTTGATAAGGGCAAGCCATTAAGGGTAACTCCCAAATAAAATTTTTAAGATTCACCTAAGTGGAAAAAAACAACAATCATTAAAATTAAAATTATGTGTAAAAGAATTATACACTTTCTTCACAGGCATAGAAAGTTTCTAAAATTACACATAAGAAACTTAATGGTCATACTTTAAAGGATTAGAATTAGGAAGGAAGGTATGTATGTTATGCCCTTCTTCACATTTTCATGTTTTTTCCCTGATCACGTATTTTTACACACTAACAAAAAAGTTGAGGTAGCATACACCAAGAAAAAATGGGAGCCCAACACTACCACTGAATGTATTCTTCCTTTGAGGCGTTAAATAACTATAAAGACTTAAATTACGATGGTGCAACAGTACTTTACATGGGGAGATAGGTGCTGGAAAAATCAGACAATATATAAAATATGTTTAGAGTAATAAGCACTCAGTAAGTACTAGCTAATAGCATCATCTTTTTATCACTCTTATAGGAGCAGTTATACTGCTAACTATCCCTTTCACAATCCCAATAGTAAAAACACACATTATAGTACTGAGAAGTTTGGGACAAGACACATTCCTAAGAATTATCAAGAAGAATTCTAAATAGGGGAAAGTGGAAAAAAAAAAGTCATAAGTATTAAATACATTTTTGTTTGATACCATTACATAAATCTTAATAGAAATATTAGGTATATACAAATGTGTCTGAAATGTATTACTCTGGGTTGGTATTTAGGAAAAAGTTTTCAAGAAAGGAACTGTGCACTTTCTTTTAATTACAATATAGTGTTTAAACACAGCCATATCAAGACAAATGCTGTCTCCTTTACATAAAGTCAAACAAGGTTGAAAGTACAGAAAATGAAAACAGAGTATAGAGATAGTAAGAAAGTACAAATGGGAATAAAACTTAGTGGGGCAGCATTAAAACACATTTTTTCTTTGTTACAAATTTTTGTTCAGTATATATATCATTACAGATCTGAAATATGAAATATAAAATACTCTAATTTTATCTAGATTATAGACAGAAACAGTATGTAACCTCCCACTGATAAGTATGAAAAAAATCCAGTTGATAAATCATTCACAGAAAAGCTACATAATTTGTAGTTTAAATTTATATGTAATTTGTCAGTTACTCTCCCAGTCAAGTCACTGTGTCATGTACATGACCTATTAACACTTTAAAACTTTTTAAATGTTTACAATTATGAAAGGAAATAAAGGGTTTAAACCTTACATAATAGATTCATAGGAATTCCTGTCAAATAAAGGAGAATATTGATCAGGTAATGGTTAGTTAATGGCTGTCACGGAGAGCAAGAAAACCAAGGTAAACCACACACAGCAGAGGAAGAAAGTGGCCTATCCTTTTGTAAATATTTTGAAGCTGTCTGGAGGAAACAGGCTGTTTTGGAGGTAAAGTTTGTTTTTAATAGTAGTCTTTAGAAATAAACTTTTTTTTTAAAAGGGAATTTTAAAGGATAGAGGCTTAGAAATGAAAATGGTAAAAATCCTAAACTACTCTAAATTTATCATTCACTTACTAATATAAATTCAAGGTTTTTAATCATAGTAAAAATATTTTTAAAAACAGTCTCAATGAGGTGAATCTAACAGCATTTCCAACACAGGCCAGATTAACTTTACTTTTGGTATCTTAACCATGGCTTGAAAAAACATAGATGCAATGTTTCGAAGCAGCAGTTGTGCCATTCTCGATTTTTCACATCAAAGAGTTCTTGCGGCAAAGCACAACTGATGTGGTCTCAAAGATTTTATTAACTCCAGATGTAGGGAAACTGCCAGCCAATTCCACAAAAAGAGCAAGTCCCTTTTAGTTACAATCAGTACTGGCCACAAATTAAAAGCAGACTGCTTATGTCATCTGATCACCTGCATATTGATGCCAGTTTTTTCCTAGTTAATGATCTAATCACACATCGAAATCTTTAGTATGATTTTGTGTTACAACAAACTCTCTTAAAATTAAGAGAAAAGAATATGTATATTTTAAGATGATTAAAACTTACTAGGAGTCAAATTATTTCAAAGAGAAATAGAAAGAGGTACAAATGAGTAAGTTCAAATGTGCTATTAAAATAAAGTACTAGAATAATTTCTTTAGAATTCTAGCCTCCATCAGAATATCTGGTTTACAATTTTCCTTCTTTCCCACGCACTTATATTTTCCCCTTTCATACACGGTGATGAAACAAAATTCTGAGTCTGTTGAACATAAGAGTAACATTTATTTCAAAATGAACGATATAAATGAAAATCTGAAAGATACCTCCCTTTCACTGTGAATTATGGTTGAAAAGAATAAAAACACATTATCTTTAATGTCCTCATTCCACCCACCAAACATTTTAAGAATGACAGAGTACTTCACTGATGAAAATTTACAGTTAGTCTTTATAGTGATTACATAATTATTCTTGGAATGTTTTAGCTCATACAAGTAACAGTAGTCAAATTAGTAAAAACAGATTTCTTTTTTTCTGCTTGGATCATTTAGTTGGCCATAAGGATAACTCCAAATTTAGGAAAGACCGCTCTGCTTAGCTACTGAAGACTATGTGCCCCATGCTGAATTCAATCTATCTTTTTTATAATTAGTCATGCAAATATCCTTGAGGGGAGGGAGTTACAATAATTTTCTGACGGTTATTGAGAAAAGATAAAAAGAAATAGAAGCTTTTGCTTAAAAGGTAGTCTTTTCTTTTTATCTTGTCACACTCTAATGCTGAATTAAAAGACGGTGTCATTCCCCATACTTGTAAAGCAGACAACACTTATGTGGTGGCCAATATTTTTAAATGCCCAAATGATGAAGAGATGAGTTGGGAATATTATTTCATATGTGAGAATAGTTACATATCCTAATTAAGATATCCTTCTACAGAAAATAAGAGGAATTCTTCATATAAGCATTGTCTAATAAGTTTCTATGATGATGCTAATATTCTTTATCTGCGCTATGATACAGTAGTCACTAATTAAATGTGAACTATAAAAACACCTGATGTGAATAATATAATCAAGGAACTAAATTTTTGATTTGATTTGATTTAACTTAAACAGTCACATGACTTGTTTACTATACTAAATATAGGTTTAAAGAACAAAGCATATGAAATTACATAAATTTTGAAAGAAATATTTTAGAAATCCTATAAACTCCAAGGCCTGAGAAAACCAAAATCAGCCCACACTAGCAAATATTTTCAGAACTTCATCTAAGTAGGAAAGATGGCCCATTTTATTGAACATGCTAGAACAAAGACATTATTTCCAAGACTTCATTACACTCAAGAGTTCCTACTTGCACTTTTGTTAAGATGGTTTGAATAGCAATTCTCTTTAGGTTTCAATATGTTAAATGACAAACATGTTAAAACACATCAACATGGCTCCTGATACGTGAAGTTAGTATTAATACTAGAAATCATCTTTAGCACCATCTTTTATCAACTGTCCAAAACAACAAAACAAAATAATGTATTAACCTATTAGAGTGTAAAATAAAAATGTGATATATTCAGAAATTTTCACCATGTTTTAAATTAAGCAACAAAAATTTTATAAAGTTTAACTTAGTACTAATAACCTGCATAAAATTTTTAGGTCACTGGAAATTAAAAAAATAATCTGTCCAAAATCAAATCCTAACTTAAAAAACTACAACTGAACCTCTATGCCAGTAATTTTTAGAATATCCACACTTAAAAGGTCAAAACTCAAGAAATAATAAGGACTAAAAATTGGGTAATAATTTTAAGAATTTATTTTTACATTATTTTGGATTAATCCACTCATTTCAAACATAGCAGTAAGACAAATTTGCTTTTTACTTCTGAATTTTGTGGGATCTTAAGTCAGTAAAAATAGGTTGTTTTTAAAAAAGTACATAAAATTTTGCTTTAATATATTCATTCAGGTAAGAATTTTAGTTAAGCATTAGAATTTCCTAAACACTATTTTCTATAATTTCAAAAAACAATTTTTGATCCATTATTTACTCTGAAT